CATGAATTGCTCCAGATTGTAAGAAGACAGGAAAAGTGTATTTCTGGAGAGATACTGACAGACAGGAAACAGACACACTAGCTCTGATTGCATACTAGCAAAGGATTTGAATAGCCATAATTGGATCCTGGCAAAGAAAGGCTTATTGACTGGGAATTGAAGATGATAGTGTGTTCTCCTTGATTGGAGTTTTTGGTAGGAAGTATTTGGGGTGAAAGGGCATGATGGCAGAAGAAACTACATGGGAAGTAGCAGAGAGGAAAGGAGGGGCTACAGATACAGTGAAATGTAACAGAGGGAAATCCAGGTGAGAAAAGTAGAATTTCATTTGTATTATTCTTGGATATTTCCTTTCAGTTTGAAATATGTTACTATATTTTTAAAGATGATGTCTAAATCTCAACTATTGAAAAATTTCCTATAAACATCCATTCGCATTTTTCTTTCTTTATAAAAAGAAATGCATTTGTCTAATTTCATTCTTCCACTTTTTGAAGCCTCAAATGTCAGCAGTCATTGTCTCAATCCTCCCATGACAGGTGGAAATCCTGAGCTGATCCTGTTGGTTCCCTTGAAAACAGATCTAGAATCCACCCTCTGCTCACCAGGACCATCCTTGGTGATGCTTCATCATCCTACATCAGCTCCTTCACTGGATCTTCCCTCATCCTTGCCTAACTGCCGTCTTTCCCACAGCCATTGCTGTGCTCCAAAACTCTCAAAAACCTCCCCATTTCCTCTAGTGACAGGAAAAGCCATACTTCTTACATGACCTCTGCCACCAGCCCAACTCCACTTAACATCCTAATCCACCTGTGAAGGGCTAAACTGGGTCCTCCCCAAACTCAGATATTGAAGCCCTATCCCCCAGGGCCTCTGAATGTGGCCACATTGAACATAGTGTTTTCAAAGAGGTCTTTAAATTTAAATGAGGTCACTGAGGGTTCTCATCTCACTATGTCCAGTTAGGAGTTGATTAAGACACAGACATACAAAGGGAGAAGGTGACCATCTGCAGCCAATGAGAGGCCAATGAAGAAACAACCCACAGCATACAATTTTTCAAATTTCTGCCTTCAGAGTCATGAGAAAATTAATTTTTGTGTTTAAGCCTCCAGTCTGTGGTATTGTGACAGTTCACCGAACATCACTCCTCATAGTCTCTGGGTCTGTCCCTCTGGCCTTGCTGGTCTTCCCCACACATCAGACATGCTGTGCTTCAGAGCCACTTGGCTGCCTTTTCTACCCGAACTCTCTTCTGATTTATAGCACATCTCACTCATTCTCTCCCAGCATATGTGTCACATGATTGTGGCCTTTTCTGGTCCTTCTAATTAAAAAGCTCCCTGCCTTCACCATAGCCTTCCTTTCCTATATTCTTGCTTCATCTTTCTTGAACCACTTCTTGTTTATTGACTGTATCCTGCTAACGAAGAAGAAACATTTTTTTAAAAAAAACTTCTGAATCTCCTGCACCAGAAATACCAGTAAAATAGAAGTGATCAAAGAGTAAATGAATGAAATAAAATGTTGCCATAGTTTTTACCTTTTTAGAAGTGTAAAGACATCATTAGCTGTTCTCCCATCTAAGCCAGTTGTGGGTTCATCCAGGAACAAGATGAGAGGATCAAGGATCAGCTCCATTCCTATACTAGTCTTTTTTCTTTCTCCTTTAGATTCCACCTAAAACACGAATTATTATCATGTTCAAGAATTTCCATGGTCACTGCTATTTGGTGAATTAACCAGTACCATTCCTGTTAGAGACACTTTACTTCATTTTCCTCATTATTCTGGACAGGAAATAAATGACATCTGGGGGAAAAAAGTTTTTCTCTAACCCCATGTGTAAGCTAAGCCTCAGTGCAGAGTAGCCACCTGATTTGAATCTCATTCTTTTAATAGTCCTGAGCATTCCTTGACAGTCAAATATTTTAAGAGAGTAAGTTAAAACACTAAAAAACCAAACCAAACCCAAAAGAAAACTATGATGTAGGGAAATATATTTAATAAAGGAGAGCCTGGCACAGTGTAGTATGCCTGTAATCCCAGTGGCTAGGGAGGCTTAGGAATGATGTTCTCAAGTACAAAGCCAGCCTTAGCAACTTAATGAGGCCCTAAGCTACTTAGCGAGAACCAATCTCTAAATAAAATATAAAAAAGGGCTGAAGATGTGGCTCAGTGTTTAAGCATCCTTGGTACCAAACAACAACAACAACAACAACAACAAAAACAATAAAACAAAAAAAAAAAAAAAAAGGAAAAGAAAAAGAAACTACTTACAATGATCTTTTAGTATGTTCTGAACATCCCGTACAGACACACCACATCTACAAAATATCCCAACTGGACTGAAAAGAAGATAGTCACCTTGGAGCCAGGAGCATATAATTCCCAACATACCATATTAGCATCTTTTAAATTTCATATTTTTCCCCAAAATAATTTTTTCTATATGTAACTTACCTAAGAATTGCTCACTCATCTTTTCAGAAAAATCCAGAACAGGGGATATTTCACAAGGCGAGTGGCACAATATTTGCACCCAGTAAATGTGTGGGGAGGGGATAAAGAAGATTTAGGGGAGGTAGGAAGTAGAAAACACATAACCCTTGAATGGTTTCTATAAAGAACTGATCTTTAAAAGACATTTGGGTACCTGATCAAAGTATTATATAAATGTATAAGTATGGCACAATGAAATATATTATTTTCTATAATTATTATAAGCAGAGAAAAAGGCTTTTGGGAATAATTAGGGACATATTAATAAATATAAACATTAGCTGTTCATAATATAGAGACCTTGTTCCATTTGTTCAATAATGGTATCAGTAAGGTAAGATATGTG